AGGGTCGGGCAGGAAGAGAGATAACAGAAGTGGACTGCTGAGATGGCAGCTTTCCCGATCCTTTCCTTATCTGGTTGACTTTTCAAGTGGCCTTACTTACTTTTTTTCTTTCTGTTTATTGTGGTGAGTATATATGAAACAAAACATTTGCCATTTCAACATTTTTTACATGTACAGTTCAGTGACATTAATTATGTTCAACATATTGTGCAACCATCACCATTGCCTGCTTCCAAATGTTTTCATTACCTTTAAAAGAAGCCCCCACACAACAACAACAACAACAACAAAAACAGTTGCTGATGAGTCAGTTCTGACTCATGGCGATCCTGTGTATGTCATGGCAGAGCTGTGCTCCATAGGGTTTTCAAGGCTGTGACCTTTTGGAAGCAGATTGCTAGGCCTTTCTTCTGAGGTGCCTCTGGGTGGGTTCAAACTGCCAGTCTTTTGGTTAGAAGTCGAGTGCTTAATCGTTTGCATCACCCAGAGACTCCTAACAGAAATTCAGTGTCCGCTAATTAACTATGAGCCTCCCTTTTCTCCTCTGTCCTGTCCACGCCTGGTAACACTAATAAACTTTGGTCTCTATGCATTTGCTTATTCTAGAGATTTCATGTAAGTGGGACCAGACAATGTTTGTCCTTTTGTGACTGATTTATTTCACTCAACATAATGTTTTCAAGGTTCACCCATGTTGTATCATGTATCAGGACTTCATTTCTCTTTATGGCTGAGTAATATTCCATAGTATGTATGTACCACATTCTGTATCAAGCTGCCTTCCTTTCTTAATCGGGAGCTTAAAATTTGCTCATTTGCTTGAAACTAAGGTAGAAGTTCTCTTGAAATGGAAATTTCCTTAAGCTATTCAAAAGTCACAATGTAGCCTAAAACAATGCTGACATTCTTAAAAGGGACAGACCTGCCCTATCATGAACAAATGTCAAAGTGATGAAGGCAAAACTTGGGACAGTGGTTTCTCATTTGGAGGCAAATTTGTCTTCTAAGAAACAATTTTGATTGTCTCAACTGGGGATGAGGTGATACTGGCATCCAGTTGTAGAGGCCAGGGATGCTGCCAAGCATCCTACAATGCACAGTTCGGCTCCCATAACAAAGAATGATCCAGCCCCAAAAGTCAGTGGTGCTGAGGTTGAGAAAGTTTGCGTTAGAAGAATACATTCATAAGAGACCTGACTTTGAGCAGATTCCCTTGTGTTGTGAGGACCCCTAGCTCGACTGGAGATGAGGTGTGTGTTTAGACTGAAAAGGTGGAAGTGATGAAGATGTAGGTTGAAGGTAGAACGTGGAGGTTCTGGAATGCTAGGGGACATCTGGATTCATTCCTCTGGGCAGCAGGAGGCACAGGTGGCCCTGAGTTGGGGAGGGCCTCCTCTGTTCATCCCCAGGGCATCCAGCTGCAACAGGGTGGCTGGTTCAGGCAGAGCAATCTGCACCCCTGGGAAGACTCCTCAATGCCCATATCCCACTGCAGGGGCTCTGGGCATCCCTTGGACAGTACGGACACATCCACAATTCAATTCCATTAATGTTAATGGGTGCATCTTCCATTTGCACCTCCACATCTGTGATAGTTAAGGTTATGTGTCAACTTGGCTAGGCCATGATTCTCAGTGGTTTGGCGGATACTATGTAATCATCTTCCGTTTTATGATCTGATGTGAGCAGCCGATCAGTTGAAAGGGGACTTTCCTTGGGGATGTGGCCTACATCCAATATATCTGGATGTTCTGGCAAATCTCACTCTCTCTCGATCCTGCATCCGACTCATCATCCTCTGACCTCTGGTTCTTGGGATGTCAGCCAGCAGCCTGCTGTCTGACCTGCAGATTTTGGGATTTGCCAGCTTTCTCAGCCCCGTGTGACAGCAGCCTGCCACCTGACCTGCCAGTTTTGGGTTTGTCATTCCCTGTAACCATGTGAGTCAGGAGAAGCCTCCAGCCTGATGCCTGACCCATGGATTTGGGACTTGTCAGCCTTCACAACTGCATAAGCCATTTCCTTAAAATAAATCTCTCTGTATATATAGATATACACACGTTCTCTCTCCCTTCCTCTCTCTCTGTCTCTCTGTCTCTCTCTCTCTCTACATATATATATATATACATACACACACACACACACACTTCACTAGTTTTGCTCCTCTAGAGAACCCAGCCTAAGAAAACATCCATCCTCCATCTTTCTCCATCCCGTTACACCCCAGGAGGCTGACCTGTGTGGATTATATTAGTGGTTCTCTTGTCCTCTGGATTTCAGCTGATTTGGCTGGATATTGGAAGGAGGTAGAGAGTGGGGCCTAGGTATTTATTCTTCCAGCTTCTTTCGTGTTGGCTGCTGCAAAAGCCCCCTCCACACAGCTCTGTCTCAGCATCCAGTAGCCCCTCCTTCAGGCCTTGGAGTGATAATGGCTCTCCCTGCCACTAGCCCTGGGGTACCTTGTGGCTTCCCTC